TGGAAACCAATTTGACAATAAATTTCATATATTAAAAAAATGAATAAATAAATAAAAATAAAAATAAAAATGAGTCTTAGAAGAAATATCTTAAAACCACCATTTACCAATACCTCATACTATTAATTGGATATCATTATCTACAAATAAACACTCATTGTTAGTAAACTGTCTCAAAAAATAAAATTTAAAATGCATACCTTCCTTCGTCAAGTTCCTGAATCGTGTGTGTGTGTGGATTAGAAATAGGTATTTCCCTTAATAGGAAGGGATGATGCCAGTAGAGCCAGATTCAATTTAGTTATCATATCATGTGCCTCTCCACCTTTGGGTTTCAATGAATTAACAAATAAGAACCAGAAAATATGATATCTGATACTTTATTTTTAAACAGTAAGGCATTATTACTCTAAGTCATAACCTTAATTAATTCTTAAGTAATTGCTCTGAGTCACTCCACTACTGTGGAGGAAATAACTTATGTATATCACAGAAAACCTCATACCTCCTTTTGGTTATATTTGATAGCAAGTTTTAGACGACTTAAATTCATTCTTTCTTCTAGTAATCCCCGTTTGTCAAGAGGTTCATCACTAGATGTATGGTTTAGGATAACTTCCAATTCTCGTGAATTCCGGGCTTGTGCAAGCAAATCTTTAGCAAACATTTTACATTGCCGGGCTAATTCCTCATAATCATTCCTGCAAGATGCAACAGTCTATTATTAGAAATGTCACTTCTAGTCTCTAAGCTGTTTTCAATAGAAAATTATTTACTTGGTAACATTTTAATTCTAATAGGGTCATACAAAATCTGAAGTCATTTTGTGCTGATGGTCAGAAGAATCTACTGGTGCATAAATTCTCCAAAGCTTTGGGGAAAACTGTAACACAATTATACTGCCTGTGCTCACACTGATAATTTTAGATGAGCACAGTATTTCCTTATATATCATGATATTCTTAGAAGTTCGGATTATAGTTGTCAACCAGTTCTTCACTTAACTCATTTGCTCTTCTTCTCTGTAAGTTTGGTATAAAACTTCCTTTTACATTACTTATCTAAACAATAGATAATAATAAGGCTATCCAATAAATATTACTATGTAACTCAACCAGAGGTGCTTTCAATAATAGTCTATAACATGTTCTATGCTACTTCTGATATTAAAATAGTATTCTGATTCACTTTTAAAGTGTTCACTTGAACAAAATTCAAGTTGGGAAGAAAAGACATTGAAATACTCCTAGTAAAGAATTTTCTTTCAGAATCACTGTTTCTTGAAACTTAGGATTTAACTGCTGGTTAAAGGCAGGACTAAATCAACCAATTTGTGAGAAATTAAGTTTTAGCAGATAATCCTCTTTAAAAACATCAGGTTCGTTAAACTTACGTCTTAGTGTAATAACTTGAAAATAAAGTTAGAAATATATATGAATCAATTAGGGTCAGATTTCAGAAAATAATTTTTTATTCAGTTTTTTTTTTTCCTTAATGGGAGAAGAAGGGAAAATAGAAAAATTTCCCAATGATTACAATAGGATTGTATACAATAGGATTTTCTATGACCAGCTTACAGAAAATTATAACTCAAAGAATTAAAAAATTTCCTCAGAGGCTAACATTTTTCTCATCCACTCTTTGCATTTACTATATAACCAAAACTACATAAGAATACTAATTGGATTTCTTAAACAAATGAAATATTACTGCTTCTTAGTCTAGGAATCTAATTACAGATAGGAATATTCATCAAAAGTGTATGTTGTTACACAGAGGTCCCATCTTTAGGTAAACACTGACAGACCACTAAATTCAGAGGTAAAACTAATACATTGTATTAATCTAATTTGCTTAATCTTGAACAAATTACTAGAAAACTAGTAAATGGCTGTATAGTTTAGCTGGAAATACAGTAAACAAGAAGCCAAGAGTCCTATGTTCTAGTTACAACTCTGTTCCTAATTAGATGCTATTATTACTAAGATACCTAACTTATATAGATCACTTTTCCTGTCTATAAAAACCAGGAACAAGTAAAACAAGTAAATGATCGCTTCTATGATCACTTCAAAACCTAACTTTGTTATCCTATGATTACAGTATAATCTTGGCAATTGCTTTAAATCCTTTTTGGAAGGAGTTGAATAAATTCTATTTTACATGGTAACTCAGAACTCCAATTATACGACTATAACAGGAAGTTCTTCATATTTAAAAGGAATAATTTACTAACAGCTTCATGTACTAATAAAGTTAAAAGTACCAACAAGTTACATTTTAATCATGTGTTCATCAAAATATATACTTTATGTAATAACAGGTTTAAATAAATTTTAATTTATCCAAATTGAAATATACTAGTTCCAAACCTGAACACTTATGAACAGGTATATTTAAAAAGTTTCTAGAACGCAGAGCTATCAAGAACACACTGCTTCTTAGTCAAGGACTTAACTGCTATTAAGGCATAAGACAACTGCAAGCTTCTTATTGCCCTTCCAGTAAATAAAAGTTTGAATTTTTCCAATCTTGTCAAGTCACTAGAGGAGTATAATGCAAGACATGGGGCTCCCACAGCAGCTACACTTAAAAGGAAAGGTAGGGATAGGCATAGCCTGCCCCCCAGAAACCTTACAGCAGGAACTGGCAAGAAATGTTGATCAATTCCTCCTTCTTTGGAGAGCACCAGGGATACTTTAACACAAGGGGAAATCTCAAAGCTTTTCCTCAAGTCTACAAAATGTAGTTTTCTAAGGACTATTTTTTTTTTAAATATTTAAATCAGTAGTTTAATAGGCTGGTTTTTCCAAAGCCTTTTTCTGTACCTCCGATTTAACTATCTCAGAGAAACTGTAACAATGATTCTTTGAGTATACAAAGTGCCAAAATTACATTTAACTCTTCGTTTCAGAAGAAAACTCAGAGTGGCATTCATCCCTCTTAACCAGTATTATTTTAATGTCTACATGTTATGTGTCTCCTAATAGAAAATCTCACCAAACGGTGAAAAGGGACTATGTCTGTGTGTGTGGAATGGCACTGAAACACAGAAAGCATTCTATATGCTTCTGAAAGTGATGAAGGATCAGGCTCCAGGTAAGATTACAGAATCTGGGAATGAGGGGAGGTAGAACACAGAGGAGTTATAAATAAATTTGCTCTTGCTTAAGGCTATCACTTCCACTATTCTTTACACTGTCCTAGAATGCCTTTGGCAACATTAAATAAAGGTGGCGGGGGGGGGGGGGGGGGGGGGGGGGGGGGGGGGGATGGTGCTTAAGGATGGTGCAAGAATGGCAAAGGGCAGGTGGGGAAGCAGTGACCTAAGTAATACCAAGGTCTATTCCATTGAATCTGAAGGTAAATCCCAAATAGGTGGCAGCAAGGTCTGGTTCCCTTGGATCAGAAGTAAATAAAAATAAACATTAATTTGGTCTATGAAAAAAACTCAAGCTGAAGAGATTCTGAAAAAAAAAAGATGTAATTTACAATTTCCATTCATTCCCACCTGAATTCCACCTCCACAAGGCTTAATTCTTTTAAATCAGCACTAAGTTCAAATGCTCTCAGAATTGGATCCTCCTCTGTTAACATTATTAGAGCTGGACTGGCCAAACAGCGATATATATCAAGACGAAACCTGTGATAAAATTCGATTCCGTAATGTAAAATAAATGTATTATACACATATAATTAGTATTTTTAACCTATGATTTTCATAAATTTAAAATTAAAGTACAAAACAACTATAATATACTTATTACAGGATAACCTGCATAAGAAGACTTAAAAAAAATAAGTCTTTGTATTCTACAATCCAATTTAATTAAAAAATTTCTATTCCTGAACCCAATATTATTTTAAATGAAATATGCTAATAACTAATACATTTTGAATATGATGTGAATGATTATTAAATTTTTCTTTCCTCAGTGATGAGACTGCTTTCATATGCTAGATATATGTAACATATGACTTACTCAACCAGGTTATTTTTTTAAAGATATTTTGAATCTTAAGAATGAAATCACTGGGGTGTCTGCGTGGCTCAGTTGGTTAAGTGTCCGACTCTTGATTTCAGCTCAGGGCATGATTTCACAGTGGTGGATGTGGAACCTGCTTAAGGTTCTCTCCCTCCCTCTCTCTCTCTCTCTCTCTCTCTCCTTCTGTCCCTCCCCCACTAGTGCTCTCTCTCTCCTTTAAAAAAAAAAAAACGAAATCATTCATTTATGCACATTCTCTAACAGAAAAGCATGTCCCTTTACCTTCTGTAAACTAATTAGGTTTCATATTCAATACATAAATAGGAAGCAAAGCAGAAAATTTTCGCTATATATCTTTAATTTGTAAGCATATAATTCTTAATTTCTCAATTTGGTAGATATTATATAATGTGTATTTTCTTTTAAACATAATTAATACATGTTTGTTATTAAAAACAGCAAGCAGTTCAGAAACATGATGGTCCCTAATTCTCCTTCCACCACTCTACTCTTCAAAGATGGTCACATTATGGAGAATTGTCAATACCTTCCTGATATTTTCAATTCACACACAAACATAATCAGACATACTATGTAAAGGAACAACTCTATGTCACTACATATAGAGTCATGTCATTTTTTTCTAAAACTGGATGGTTTTCCATTTGATGGCAGCTCATCAGATCTCCATTAATGGAAATTTCAGTTGCTTCTAATTGTTTACTTCTATAAATAATGCAGCAATGAATATTCTTTAGTTCACATATCTTTTGCATACTAGAAATGCTGGATAAAATGGCATGTGTATTTTAAATTCTAACATGTTTCCAAAGCACTAACAATAAGGAGAGCTCATTTCTCCCTACATCATCATCAATATTTTGCCACTCTTGCAGATAAAAACTGTAATTCTAGAGTTGTTTTATTCTGCATTTCTTTATAAGCTTAAGCATCCTTGTATGTTCACTATCCATTATACTTCTTCTGTAAACTGCCTGTTCATTTTCATTGGCCTATTTTTCTGATAATTGTTTTTTTTAATCAATTTGTAAGATCTACATATCAAAGAAATTAGCCCTCTGTCTAGTCACAGTGTTCTAAATACTTTCTCCCAGTTTCTTGTTTGTCTTTTTCCTTTGTTTGCAACTGAACTTTCCCATGTGGGAATTTAAATTTTTTTAAATGTTTATTTATTTTTGAGAGAGAGAAATATTGCATGCACAGGAGAGGGGCAGAGAGAGATGGGGACAGAGGATATGATGCTAAACCGACTGAGCCACTGAGGTGCCCATAAATTTTTATTTAAACAAACTTACTGAAATATTCCTTATTTACCGTATAGGTTTCAGGTCTTACTTAAGATATAAAAGTAAATTTTGTATAATGCATTTTTTTTTTTTTTTTAATTTTTTTTCCACGTTTATTTATTTTGGGACAGAGAGAGACAGAGCATGAATGGGGCAGGGGCAGAGAGAGAGGGAGACACAGAATCGGAAACAGGCTCCAGGCTGAAGCCTATCAGCCCAGAGCCTCGGAAGGCTCGCCAACTCACGGACCCAGCGAGATGGTGAGCCTGGCAGTCGGGGCAACAACGACCTGCATGCCAAGCCCCACCAACTATAATGCATTTTTAAGAAAACAGTATTTGTGAAATCCAATTATAAGTTAGCTATTCAATAAAACAAGTATAGCTGTCTTAAGGATTTCTAAAGAGATATTTGCCGACAACAAAACTGTCCAAAAACTTGAGAAAAATTTGTATAACTAAGCAACTGTTCTGTTTCTATCAATATTTCTATATTAATTTTATCAGATTATGTCTAAAAAAATGACTTCTGTATTAACCAACATTATCATGTCTCAAAATATATTAAGGATTAATGACAAAATGCACAGCAAGAGTGACAGCTAGTAATGGTGGCAACCAATTGTGTTAGAGTAATAATCAAGTACTGTTGTATAGAAAGTACTTAGATGGAATCTGACAAGTAACGGGGCTGACTCATTTTATAAAATCTATCAATTTGGTATTCAAAATACTATCAAAGTAATGGTGGTGTGAAGAGGTCAATGATTCCACTACACACAAAAAATATGTATACAAATGGATACAATTACAGTTGTCCCTTGAACAATATGGGTTTGACCTCTATGGATTCACTTTTATGTGGGATTTAAAAAAAAATTTTTTTAAGTTTTTGAGAGAGACAAAGCAAGTAGGGGAGGGGTAGAGTGAGAGGGAGACAGAGAATCTCAAGCGGACTCCACACTGCCAGCACAGAGCCCAATGGAGGGCTCAAACCCACAAAACCACGAGATCATGACCTGAGCTGAAACCAAGAGTCGGACGCTAAACCGACTAAGCCATCCAGGCACCTCTGTGGGTTTTTTTGATACAGTACAGTACTATCAATGTATTTTGTCTTCTTTATGATTTTCTTAATAACATTTTCTTTTCTCTAGCTTACTTTATTATAAGAATATAGTACATAATACATATAACATACAAGATATGTGTTGACTGACTGTGCTATCAGTAAGGCTTCCAGTCAACAGTAGACTAATTAGTAGTTAAGCTTCTGCGAAGTCAAAAGTTATACATGGATTTTTTTGCTGCACAGGGGGTTGGTGCCCCTACCTCCCACAGTGCTCAAGAGTTAACTGTATTTTTAAAAAATCAACCTTTTCAGGGCAGTGGAAATTATCTACTGAGAATCAATTACTGAAAAACTGCTAGAGCTTCAGGTAAGAATGGTTCGAATCTGTGGTCTTCTTGCCTGAGGCTACCTCCATCACCTCTGCCCCCCCAGTTCTGTCAGGGAGAACTGCAGTTTTCCAGCCTGAGACTTGTAAACCTGTACTTTTGTGCTTAAAGGGGAAAATCAATTCGACTGGAGGCAAAAACCTACAGTTCTGATGGCTGAAAGGGTTGGACTTGGAGGAGATGAACAAGGAAAACCTGCAGTTTTATAAAACCAAGCTTGGAGTCTGAGTAGAAACAAACAGTAGACAAACTAGAAATTTAACAGAGAGATCTTGGAAGTGAAAAAAGCCATAAAATAATTCATACAAGGTCTCCAGAGATCTCTGGCAGATTAACGTATTAGGCATATGTGGAGAACATCAGACAGTTTGGTAAAAAGAAAAGACAAGAACTATTGAGAAATGGCTGCAACTTTGACTAACCCACAGATTCATCAGGAGACAGCAGAACTCTTATAGGCCCAAAGTGTATTAACATAACTTCTACCAAATTAGCGGCTCACCTACAGAGACCCTAAAATGACCCTTAAGAATCAAAGCTAAGGGGCACCTGGGTGGTTCAGTCAGTTGAGCATCTGACATGATCTCTTGGTTCGTGAGTTTGAGCCTCACATTGGGCTCACTGCTGTCAGCCTGTCAGCATACACCCTGCTTCACATCCTCTGTCCCCCTCTCTCTGCCCCTCCCTCACTTGTGCTCTCCCAAAAAATAAATATGAAAAAAAAAAAGAATCAAAGCTAAAAAATAAAAATAAGAAAAAAAAAATAAGCTAAGCACAGAGATCAATGATTGTACCTCACAGGGAGACAAGATTCAGCAGACCAGAAAAATAATTTTTAAAAAACCTTAGAAAAGTAAAAGAGTATTGAGACTTGCTATAATATATACTAGACTGTCCAGATTTCAAACAAAGAAATACTAGATGTGCAAGAAAAAGTCAAGCTGTCCCTCACCAAACAGCAACTAAGGGGGAAAATAGATTTCACTAAAATAATCCAGCCAGTTGCTAAAAAAAATAAAACAAACAAACAAATAACAGCAATAGGCCCCTGAAAATGGAGGGGACTGGCACACAGAGTTGCTATAATATATTATCTAAAATGTCTAGTTTCCAGTAAAAAATTAAGAGACATGAAAAGAAATAAGAAAACATGTCTCATACCCAAAGAGAAAAAGAAAAAAAAAACAAAAAACCCAGGTAATGGAAACTGCCTTTGAAAGTAACCAGAAGTCATATTTAACAGAAAAAGATTACAAAGTGGCCATTATAAATATATTCCAAAACTAAAGGAAGTATGATTAAAGAAGTAAAAGAGGGCATGATGACAATGTTGTATCAAACAGAGAATATCAATAAATAGATAGAAATTATGAAAAAGAACAAAATGGAAATTATGGAATTGAAATGTACAGTAACTACATTTTCAATTCATTAGAGGAGCTTGCAATAGGTTGAGATGTGTACCCCTAGAATTCATATGTTGAAGTCTATCCACCAGTATCTCAAAATGTGACCTTATTTGTAGACAGGGTCTTTACAAAGGTAATCAAGTAACAATGAGACATTAAGGTGGGCCTAAATCCAATATAATTAGTGTTTTTATAACAACGTGGCGGGTAGTGTGGAGACAGGTACACATGCAGGGAGAATACTCTCTGAACATGAAGGTGGCCATCTACAAGTCAGTAACAGAGGCCTGGAACAGATCCCTCCTTCAGAGTCCTCAGAATAAATGAATCATACCAATACCTTGACTTTGGATTCATAGGCTACAGAACTGTAAGACAATAAATTTCTGTTAAGTCATCCAGTGTGGTATCTTATTATGACAGCCCTAAGCAAAATAATGCAGGACGTAACAGAAAGAACTACAAAACTTGAAGATATATCAAT